TATTGATGTAAAACTCTCTCAAGTTGTGCTGCTGGAAGCTTCTGAGGGCGAGAGCTGCGTGGATCTTTCCATTTGCAGCCTCCTAAGTGCGAGAATACCCGTGCTGCTACAGGATCTTGAACACGCTATTGACACAGGGAGAAAACAATGCAGTGCCTTGTTGCCCAGGACCTTTGGGTGCAGATGTGTAATGAAAGTTTTCAGTTTTCCTGAGCTTCTGCGTTGCAGAATTGGAGAGCCGTGAGCCCACTGCTAAGGTAAGTTTGCGGGTTGAAGCTCTTTTGTTGATTTAAACCAGTGCAGTTTGTGTGAACAGCTCACGGAAGCAGCAGACCTCGCGAAGCCTAGGTTCCCGCTTAGATCTGGCCACAGTCAATTGCAGCACGGGCTCCTAAAGATCTGGGAAAGGATCTTCAGCCAGCTCATCAGACGCCTGTAAACAGCCATGAAATTTGTCCAGCCAGGATGAGTTGCATCTGTCAGCCAGGTGACTGGGTACATGCGAAGCATTGTGAAGCGGTCTGTTGCTTGGGGGCTTTGCTAGGTGCCTGGGTTTCGGTGTAAGAAGGTTGCGTTTGAGGAGATGTGTTGTGAGTGTGTCTCATTTCACCATATTCATGAATTTGCAAGTCCCTTTCTCAGAGTGCTGACCACAGCGCGAATGTCACATGGAGGGATGCACATGAGCTGTCCTTAGTGCAATCTTCATTTTGGAAGGACGTGTGCTGCATTGCATGATTTGGTTTGGGAGTCTCCTTAAAATAGTGAGTGATGCCGAGATGCCGTGTGGACTGCCTAGGCTCTAGATTCCACCTGCCCCTTGTCCTCCCTTTAAAGTTGTTTAGGCTGGCCAAGTTTGCAAACGCGTGTGGCCTACCGCCTAGCTTTGGGGAGGCCTAGTCGTATGGACATTTTTGCGTTCACAGGATTCTGTCAGGTGCACCCTCATCCAACAATGCGGAAACAGAGCCAAGCTGACATTAGCCCGCCCGAACAGGGCAGGGCACTTGCCTTAACCAGCAGCAGCCTTTAGGAGTAGCTAGCCTGGCCGCCTGGAATGAAGGTACGTCCTGCAAGCATAATGTTCATGACCCACCTCCCCGGGTTCAGATCTCACAGGGCCAACCCTGTCCTGGTTGTTTGGGAATCCGGGGGGTTTATTCTGCCCAGGCTTAATATCGGACCAACAAAGTCCCATAGACTGAAGAACAGGAACCCTGTACCGAGGCTTGATAGCAGACCAGCAAGTCCCATGGCAGATCTGATCGAACATTCGCCCGGTGGTCCTGCCGCCCCTCACTGGGTACGGGCCGCGCTCCTCCACTTAAGGGTTTTGGGAACTGAGATTCTGCTAGTTGGGTGTCTGCCAGCTCACTGCGAGGCCCGTGGCGCACAACTAACGCAGATCCAAAGGAGCATGCTATAGCACCACGTGCAAAGGACTGCCCAGCAGTTTCACTGATGCGGAGCGAGAGCAGAACATTGCACATTGGCATGTGAGTGGGAGCAAGAAAGCAACCTGATTGCACGTAGCCTGAGGTTTGTCGGTAGCGCTGCTTTCAGCTACCTGTTGCTTGCACAGGTTTCATAAGAAAATGCAGCCGCTGCACAGGGCCGTACAAACACAGACCGACAAGCAAAAGTCCCAGGCTTGAACTCAGCCTGTGCCAGTTCGCAGGTATAATCTGGGTTGCCCGCCCTTGGCTGCGTGCAATGCTCCATGCAGCAAACTGGACCACGCTGGAGTCAAATCCGGGCTGCTTCCCCCCATTCCTTCATATTCCTTCTAAGTTCTGGTTTGCAAGTGAGTGAGTCGACCGGTCACCTGCCAGTAGCCCGGCCTGACCAGTGGGTCAAGGTCCCAGACCCAGGGTGTCTTAAGACTTGGCCTCTGGCCGCGCGCGACTGTGGACGTGGGGACGGACAGATAGACAGACAGAGAAAGAGAGAGAGAGAGGGCGAGCGACAGACAGGTAGAAGAGCGAGAGAGAAAGAGCTCAGTCAACTAGTTTTTGTTGATAGCCGCGAACTGATCTCATGGACCTTCAGCGCGGTTTCGCGGTCTCTGCATCAGAACAGAAAGGCCAGGACAAGTCCCAGGGCACGTCTGAGCATGAAGCAATACGTGGGGTAGAGAACCAGAAACCAGATACCATGTTCAGAGATGGATGGAGGATGAGTACTTTTGTATTCTCCAAAAAAGTACACACCAGTACATACACTCGCCAATATACCTGATGAACCCCAAGTACACCCTCCAAAAACAAGAAAGAGGGGTTTGCGCGGCATGCTGTAATTGTTTCATGCTAAGGTCATGGCAGCCCGCCCCCATCTTGACGCCATCGCAGAATGCTTTCACATAGCTGCACTGCGCTACAGTAAGAGAACATGCAATGAACTTATGTCTGCTACCACACTCGGCAAACACTGAGCAAACATTCTTATGTTGGGTTCTGCCATGTGCCATCATGTAGTCCACCTCCAGCAGCGGGCCATTCTTGTCCATACATCGTTGCTGACTGGCCTGCACACGACTGAATGCCCAGCAATGACAAGAGGCAAGGCGGTTGGCCTCCAGCATACGCCGGCGGGTTTCGCTGCTGTGTGCTCTCTGCATAATCGGCCCAAGCACCTGCAAATGAGCTTGCAACCAACGCGCTTGGAGCTGGTGCCTTGGTCAAGTCAAAATGCATCCAAGCACCGGGGCTTTCAAGGAGCAGCGCTTGAGCAGTTTGGAGCCACCAACATCTGGAAGACTGCGAATGAAGGACTCTTCACAGCCCGCCAGCTCGACAGGTGTCAGGTCCACAACACTGCAATCTTCGTTGATGTTCTGCTCTGCCTTGGCATGACGCGTGGATACACGTGAGCAATGTGCAAAAAAATGTGCTTTTGCCCGAGCCTGGAAGGCCAAGTCTTTGCATCGCCTATCCAAAGACGCCAGTTCATCGCGCTCCTTTGGCTCGAGCGCGCAACCAGACTGACGGAACTTCTCCAGAACAACCTTTGCCAGACGAATCTCTTCTGGGGTGCGTGCAGCGTCTTTGGCTGCATTTAAGATATTGTAGAGGTCTGGCCGCGTGTAGGTCTTGGACCACATTGTGCTCAGGCTCTTCTTAGCATCAGCAGAGGCGGCACGCGCCTCGGGATCGCCACTGACTAGAGCAGGCAGAGTCAGCTCCACACTGGCAAGGGCGGCAAACCCGTCGGCATCTGCCAGCTGACCAAAGGTCTGACGAAAGGTAGACCCACTGCTGCCACTGCTGCTAGCAGACATCAAGCTTGAAATCCTTTCTTCATAAGTTTTTGTTAACACTTTCAAACCTGACCGAATCTCATCAGCAGATTTAGTCAAGCACAACTGGTGCACGCCAGCTTTTGAAGCCATCTTCATGGCCACGCGAGTCGACAGCCTTCTCACTGCTCGCATCCGACAGGCCGGTACGATTGCCAAGGCTCCAGCCAAACAGCATGCATGGCGTGCATGAAATGCACGTCGAACCCTCGAAAGAAAAAGTGTGTCTCTAGGCGCTTCATGTGGACTAGCCAGGGAGTTGAAGGTGGGTGAAGGACAGAGGATGGGGCCACAGATCATCATCCCATGCAATGGCAGCGCAACAGTTCTGCACTCTACATGGGCTGGGCCGAGATCTTCCAAAACTCACTGACTATATCATGCACACCAGAATCATACAGATGCGGGGGCAAACACAAGGATAAATTGTGCCGCCAGCCTCAAGGTAAGAGGCGGCCTGCTGAGCCATCTGGAGCCGCCCAGCCTTGGTGAAAAAGAAACGCATTTGTCACACAATCTCCCATGCTGAGCAGTGTTATTACCAAGTAGCTGCTCGCGATCACTGTTTTACGACATCTTTCATAAGTCTCTAGGCCAGAAAGGCTTTACAGGGGCCGACTGCAGAGGCATCTGCAGAGACACTGGTTCACGACTGGTTTGCTGCTGGTTGAATACAGCAGGATGGAATCAGGCCTGCACACTTGAAATGGGCTGCTCCTTGGATCTGAACATCTACTTGCCTCCTGACTGTGGCTTGCCCTGCTCCAATGTCTCGTGGTCAGCAAATCAGCGGCTGTATTTGCAAGGGCACAGCACCATGCGGTTTCAGAGCACAGCCTCCACGGCGCCGGGACCAACGGATGCGAACTTCGCAGCCCCGTCGGAGGTGGCCTCCAAGAAACCGCTGTACTGCTCGGCACTCTCCGGCAAACATACGACATCCCAAACCTTCGCGACGTGTAGCCCAAAGTCAAAGCCTATGCGGTGTTCCCGATCAGGCATGGCATGACCCCTCGCACACCATCATCGTGGATTCCCACTTGTCTGCCTTGTCGCCGAAGTAGCAGGTAGGTACAAACATACGAAAGGCTCGCAGTCAGCAAAAGCCAGATGGATGCGCTCAGGACGCCTTAGCCCGTGTCAGGTGCAAATGCTAAGCTGTCTCGCGGCTTCCCTAAGTCTGCAAAAGTTGCGGCGGCATGGAGGCAACCACATGAGCTGACAGACATCCGGATGGCACCAACCCTGCAGATTGTAAGATTTGTTAGTTCTTCGGACTGTGCTTGACAATGTAAACGCTCACACGCACGCATGCTTGGTTGCACGTAGTGGTCTACTGATTGTTTGTGGCATCTTCACTTCCCACATCTACAACAGCTTACCAGTCCTTCAGTGAATACAGTCAGGGCATTCCCATCTGGAGAAAACAAGATATTGGCCCGTCAAGTGAAGTGAAATCCGATGAGGTCCTAGCACTTGGGGTTCCTCATACGTCTCTTTGAAGGGCGCAAGACAGACGAAAAAAGATCTCGTAAGGGGTGAAGGACAAGAACTCTCCTTGCACAGCCCTGCCCTGCGCGGTTCTGTCGCTCCCTCACTTGCCCTCCATGCGGCTGGGAAGCTAGTGTGACACGGGAGCCAGTCAATGCTCTAGTGGTAACTGAGAAAGTCTCACAGCTGCAAGTTAGGTACCCACACCCGGGCTGGGAGATTTGTAGGGATGTAGAGATAGCACGCAAACGAGTTTGAGCACCCCTAGTCACACAGTCCACAAACATGAAAAATGAAAGCATACAAACATACCATGCATCATTCTTTCCAAGGCCAAGCCACCAAAATGCACCACCAACCGTGAGCATATGTATGGTGTGGGGCCGCCAAGAAAAGCTGCGGACAGGTTGTAGCTAATACCCATTCCGATTACACGAATATCCACTGGAAATGAGCTGTGCATCAGGTAGGGATTTCCCCAGGCGATCAAGCCACCGCAACAAGCCAAGGCCAACTGCGAACAACAAGCAGCCCAAAAGACTCGTCTTTCGAATAGCAAATATGCTGGAACGGCCAGTAAAGCCAGCAAGCCCATGCCCATGCGAACGGAAGACGAAAAGCTATAATCCCTTTTGAAGACGGCTATGCCGACCATGAAGATGGAAGGTGCCAGTTGCATGAAGGTATTCAACTCTGAGCCTCCCGGAACTGGCGGTTGTGATGTCAATGTTCCTTCATAGACCTGCTGTATCCAAATGAAATTCTGGTACCAGGTCACAGGAGTGATTGCCTCGACACCGATCATCAGCAATACATCGGAGCGGTGTCTCCAGAGACCAGCCCACAGTGGCTGCGACAGCTGCCCAGCTCGCTGGGCTTCCAAAAACTCACGCGGGTCCTCGACCCGGCGCCTCAAAAAGATTCCAATGAGCCCAATCATCAAACCAAGCCAAAAGCAGATCCTCCAGCCAACAGACTCCATAGTGGCTGGGGAGAGCACATGTCGCATCAGGACCACAACCCCAAAGCCGGAAAATGTACCAACAGCAACAGAGATTGACATCAAAGCACCTGAGATCGTCTTGTTCCTGCCTGGAGCATGCTCCATGCTGAAGACCAAAGCACTTACATACTCACCACCAACTGCAACGCCCTGCAGCAAGCGCAGGATGACTAGAAGCATCGTTGACAACCAGCCAGCCATTGCATAGGTGGGCAAGCACCCAATCAGAAAGGTAGGCACCATCATCATCAGTATAGATGTCCACCTACGCCAATTTGGCACAAAGGTCTGACTATGGGAAATGCTTACACTCTTGCTTGCTGCCCAGCCACAGCGCACACTTCCGGCCAAGTCGATCCCCTATGATGCCGACAAAGATCCCGCCCACGGGCCGGGAAATGTACCCTGCAGCAAAGGCCAGAAAGGACTGCATCACCTGGACAGAAGCATCATGATCTGGAAAGAAGTGCTGGCCCAGGAGATCGGCCAGCGCAGCGTACACTCCGAAGTCATACCATTCAAGCCAGTTGCCCAAGGCAGCTGCAACAAATTTCTTGTTGACCTGAAATCCACAATACTGAAATTCACGGAAACTATACATGCAGCAAACCAAAACTGACCAAGCCACAATCTGATCGTCCTTGGCCTCCGCAGCGCCAATGAACTCTGGATCACTGCTTTCGGCCATGGCTGTTACTAAACTCGAGACTGCAGCCAGAGCCATCCACAAGCAAAGCAGCTGCACATGACAGGTCACATGTCTGCGGCAAACTGGACATGGCACTAAAGACGTCTGACCCCAACGAAAGCACGGTTGTACTCCTGAGGGAAAACTGACTCAAGGAGCTTCATATTCTGCAGTGCTTACTACTTTCCGGGACCGTGGCAGGCAAACCTTTGCCCTCTGCAGCATTGGTGATGTCCACCTGTTCGCGAGCAATGAGCTTGCTGCTGGAAGTCGCGTGAAGTTGCACATGGGGCGCACCGCCGGACGTTGTAGATCCACAGCTGGACGCTGCTGCAGCCGCACCTGTCAGGCTGAAGAAGGTCTGCTGCATGTCAACCTCACTGCATGATGCAGACTGATGGCGCAATCAACCATTAACAGTCGGACATTGTAGGTTCATCAGACTGAGCCTTCATCTGAGGGTCGAAGAAAACTTCAAAGGTGTCCTGGCAAACCGCAACATCCCAGTAACAGCCTGGAGGTATCTCCTAAAGCCGCAAAAGTCTTGGTCCTGCATCGGGTCAATGTTTACCATTTGAGCAGGAGCCAGCGGAGTCAGCACCTCCACCTCAAGAAGCCAAGTTCTCCCGCTGCGTTGTCACAGAACACATTTCAATGCAAAACAGCCGCTATCCTTGCTTTCTCCCACTGCCTTCATTTGCAGCGGCTGTGCTGGTGAGTCATTGAAGCGAAAGTGCTGCCCTGTCTGGGACACCTCGAAGCGCACTCATCTGATAGCAGCATTGCTGTGCAGGTCTCCCATCAGATGCCCCATCGAATGCACAGAAACACCTTTCCAGATCACAATGAGCGAACACATGCAAAACACCTAATGTACTGCCCATCTTTAGCCGATCTTTCTGTCAGGAACTGATTCTGGGCCAGTAAAGAAGCACTTCTCAGCCATAGGACCCTCGAATGCGACCGCAGTGTAACATGGTTCCAAACATTGCACAAAATACACACTGATTTAAATGGCTTCACAAAATCTCTCTGTCAGAGCGACGGCTGCAGTCTTGTGTGTAGAAGCAAACCAAACATGTGGAACGAGCTTCTGGCAGGTGCTTGCCGCTTCAAGTCCCCCCACCTGTGCTCATGCTTCTGTTGAACTGCGCAGAAGCACGCACATCACCTTGACTCAGCTGAGCATTCGGCTTTAGAGACAGGACTGAGCCTTCTGGCAGGCCCTCGCTACCCAGCAAGACCACCTCTCAGATAAGGCTTCTCACAGAGTGATTTGCAGGTTGATCCTAGGCCTCCATGATGTCGGTTTTCGACGGAACAGAGGGGCCTGCGCTGCGGGCAGCTTTCGATGCTCCTCTTTACCCTTCTAGTTGCTGGAGTCCTTGTGCTGGCAACGCAGGTCGTAACAAGCAGCCTTCCTGCCCTTGACCACTGCTCTGTGAGCTAGCTTTCGCTCTTGGAATTCAGGACATCCCTTACAAAATCACGCGTATGCCACATAAATTCAGGAGGTCTGAGAACACCCATAGACACTCCAGAGCTGTAGGCCATGCAAGGCCATTGTTACATCCCTGCTTGCACTTCCGAACCTGAAAGAGCACGAGAACTAATAATCGTTGCAGCTTGTGGTCCCCTGTACTGATGAAACAACAGGGCACGCGGTGTGCCTGAGGATTGCCTGCCCTACAGCAAGCTCAAATCAAGGACATCTCCTGCCCACGCACATGCCTACCTGAAGCCCAAAATGGCTGCACGTTCCAAGCTGTCGACAATCTTCTGCATCTTCCAATAGAATTTCAGTCAGATCAAAGGAAGAACAACTCCAGCTTTTTGGGGGTGTGGATCTCCTGAATTTCTCATTTTCAAGTCTGCAGACATGCTGGCTTGAAACAGAAGAATAGCTGTCGACCTCGCAAGCCAAACACGTCAGCTTGGTCTCTTTGAGTTTACAAGCCAGCTCAGCTCAGCACTGGTGTTCAATGGAGTGTGAAACAACAGTCACCCTTCTTTCTGCTGTGGCCTCAGAGAGGCACTGCGTGGACGGAGCCTAGCCAAGGGTTGCAAAGCTGTCAGCCCAGGCATGGACCCTCGGACAGAAAATACAAAAGTGGCCTTCTTGGAGCTCCAGGTCGAGGTGTGGCATATGCAGCCAACGTGCGGGGCTTCACTGCAGCCTCAAGAGAGGGTGTCTAGTGAGTCTAGTACTCAAGCAGGATGACTTCCGCCGCTGTTGTGCCTGCGAATCGCGCGGATGACGATGCTCACGCGCAGACATGGGGCAGGCTCGATGATGCTGCAGCTCCAGATCCATCTCCTGCAGGATAGGAAATGGGCAGCAGACGCAGGGCATGCCGGTTCTGTTGAAAGTTTACTGCATGCAGGTCACTTCACTGAATTCTTCGTTACATGCACAGGTGGAGCACGCTAGCATTCCGTTAAGGCTCCTGGCGCCGCCGCGCTGCAAAGCGGAGACGGCTACTGCGTTGTCGCTGGAGCTCTGCCTGACAGAATGAAGGGGCAAAGAGAAAGATCGCTTGGCTGCATCAAATGCCTCGTGTGTGTCCCGCCGGCATTCCTCCAGATCTCTCTGTTGCTGCATGAGCAACACCTGCAGAAAACATGGCAGTCCCGTGTGGCAATGCTGCTGCAAGGAGTGATCACAAACAATTGGACAGCCTCTTCATGCCTCCGCCGACGTCCTCAGCTTCATTGGGAGAGTTGCTAACCAAACACAGCAGTCGTCTTCTCCCTTCAAGGGGGAACTGCTGAGTCATAGTTGTTGCGCCTCACTTCTCATCTGCTGAGGCAGAGGCTGGCTTCAAGCTCGGCATCTTTTCTGGCCAACCAATCACGGATGCGTGCCTCGGCAAGACAGCGCATCCATAAAAACGTGGAAAGGCTCTGTCTTTGACTCCGCTGAACAGATATTAAAACCTGTTTGCAACATCACGTCTGGCCTGCTTCATCCGACGGGCTTCTACATCACATTCGTGCTCAACTTCGTTGGGCTCCTGATCCCAAGCGTCAACGTCCGCATGTGCAAGCATCGACTTTAACGAACATAGCATAATACCCACCAGCCATCCCACCAACTTTCATCCACCCCACAAGCTCTCTTTCACAAACGGACATGAGTTCCCGATTTTTTTGCCAGGCAGGCCAGAATCATCCCGTCCTAAGCAACAAGGGACAATATAGAACAACACTGAATCACTCGCGGCCAACGGAGCAAATTGAAAAGGAGGCGTAGTTAGCATTGACATTGGAAGACATGGAAGCCCAGGTAACCTTTGGCAAGACTCTCGTGTCTGTAAACTTTCATGATAATGATATCTGATTCTGAATGCAAGATACCAGCACCCTTCTTCCCAGATAGCTGGAGCATGAGATGAGACGTCTAGACTGCCCTTGTTTTCATCGCGCTTCGAGAAACATGTTTCCAGTAACTTGAAGCCCTGCTTCACGCAGCCATGAAACAACACCCTCGCTGTCTAGTTCACATCCCTCGTAGGTTGCTTCAGAGTCATGCCGGGAAGTGCCGAACTGCGACTCCAGGGTGGAAGCCAAGGACAGCAGGCGCTCGACCAGCCACTCCGCCTTGGCAGAGCGAGTTGGAGCCGCTTCTGACGCAGCCTCGGCAGCAGCCTCTGCAGCGAGTTCTTCAGAGTCCGCGCGAGGTGATCCTGTGCCCACAATGCGGGCTCCATTACGTCCGGAACTCGACCGTGCTTCGCTAGCCGGTCCCACCTCTGCGGGCTCGGTCTCCCAAGGCAGAGATCGCAGGATGCGAACGTCCACCACAGCACCAAGCCGGTATAACAATTCCAGAACACTCTCATCCAAGGGCATCAGCTCTTGCAGCAGCTCGTTAGGGCGGCCAAAAACCACAGCTTCCAAAAACATACCGTCCTCTCTTCGGATCAGGGATGCTATTCCTGCAAGAAAACCGAGCCGTCCTTCTGAACGTAGGGAAACAGTGGCACAACTAGCTGGCGCCGAACTCAAATTAAAGCGATAAGCTTTAGCCCCAGATGACCCGGGCTTTAGCTGTAGCCTGACTGAGGCCGCGCCAGCCTCTTTAGTCAGCCCTGTCGAGTATCCCACCACAAGTGCGGGCACTGCACTTCCCATCGCTGCAGCGGCAGCAGCTCGTGCAGCTTCCACGGACACCCGCAGCGGGAAGCAATGGCTGGCCCGGCCAGTGGCGCAAGGTACGAGGGCACCATCAGCACCCGAGGTAATGACGCCCCCCATTGTGCTGAGGATTTGAAGATTGAGCCGGGGCCTGCAGGCTGCGTTAAGCAAAGGCTTCTTCAAGCAACTCAACTCGTGCAGCTGAGCAGGTGCCGACTTTCGGCTCCTGGTAGACAGGCGCAGACGGGCGCTGGCGTCTGAGAAAGGCGAATGTCAAGCGCCCTTGTTGCCAACAAATGTTTCACAAAGCTGCAGGCCTGGCACTCAATGAACGACGCATGAGCAGCACATCACTGGGCCTGCGCCTCACAACCAAAACGAACACAGAATCACAAACAGTTGGGATGGTCCACACAAACTCATGCAGCTGACAGAAATGCTCACAGGATCGTTATGCGGGCAGAGGCTTTACACGCAACGCATAGGCATGCTTGCCGTCCTTCCTAAACCAGACCACCTGCATTTTGCCAGCTACAGGTACACCTACAGTCTGCGATGCACCCTCTGGTGCACTGAGGACCTTCCATATGTTCGAAGCAGAGGTGGCTCTGCCATGGAGCACATGCAATTGAAGCAGGTGGAGTCAGCCTGTCACAGCTGGTAAAATGAACTTACCAACCATTGAAATGCATCAAGAATTGTCGAGGCTGTCGCAGTGCATTCGCACGAGCATCCTACAGGTGCATGCAGAACAAATACACAATTCCGCTGCCAGATAGCTCTGCTTCGACCAGTGTCAACAGTCCTGCTGGCGAGCACTGTGGGACAAGCCCCTGTCGAGGGATGAGTTTGCAAAAAGATGGGATGCGGAGCTCGAAGAAGCCTTCAATGAAGATGCGCCAAGGCTCGTGGCTGAAGTTTGGCTACTTCGCGCGGACCTGAGTCTACAAGCCGTTCAGGGGCAGCATCAAACGCAGCTCGACAAGTCGCACTCAGCTGAAACCCAAACTGAGAGAAAAGTCTTCTATCCCAACATACGCTGTCCTTAGGATTTTGTTAGGGTCGCTTTCACTCCCCCTTCTGTACACATCAACTGCACAATTGCGACAGTCCAGCAAAACAAGTGAAGCATGCGAAAGCCAGGGTTCAGTTTCTTCAGTCCTGGAACCTGGGATCTTTTTAGGACTGCCATGTGCCACCTATACCATATTCTGTGCAAACCATCCGAAGCTGTTTTCTTTGCATTACGCGTGGGAGCAGTTTGGCAAGACAGCTGTGACCTACCTGTTACGTGTTTCACGCCGAGCAGGTCTGTGGCAGAATGGTCATGGAATTCATTCGCGCGCTCAATGGCCTGTTGAAAAATATCTGCTTCAGTTCGGAAAATATTTTTTGTGGAACAAAGCAGGCCCCCACGCTTACAGACTGTCACTAGCAAACCCATACATAGGAGATCCTAGGCCTTCCTGGGCAGACGTATGGCCCGTTTTCTGCATGATTCCATTTCCGCGCTTTTTTAAATCTTCTTCGTCATGCCACATTGGGTTCCGAAACGATGCAAGTCGACCTTCATTACGTATTCTCTCACTACAGCCTCCAGTTGAATTTCTAGTCAAGTGTTCTCTACGCATCAGGGATTCTATTCGTTGTCAAATCTGTTATAGTCTTTTGTGACTGGAGCCTGTATCAAGCTTTCTGCTTGAAGGGTTTCAAGTCTTTTCGATGAGGGTCTTATCTATCCCATGAAGCCTACCACAAAGCTTTCCTCATATCTTTCCGCTGTAGGTTTTCCCACGCTGACCCATATTTGCCTTCTTCAAATGGGCTTGAAATCGTAGAATTCTTCGGGATATTCTGTCAAGCGCGGTCAGAAAACCTTTGCCTCTGCATTAAAAAGAATCATTTCCCGACTTACACTCCAGACATCCTATCTAAACAAATGCTGCGGGGAACCGTTAAACCCCGTCCTGTTTACATGAAAACGAGCCAGAACGCTTATGGCGTTCTATGCACATGCCATTCTAAAGCGACATCTATGGGAATGGCTGCCAACGAACCTCACTGATCATGGAAACATGCTCCACTGTGAAGATCTGTTAACTTTGTGATTTTGTGGTTGGCCGTCCATGAGAATTTGGGTTCTGATGCAAGTCCCGGATATGCGTTCATCCGAAGATGTTGTGTGCCCAACACGGCTCTCATCAGACGTTTCTCATGCTTTTACGTTGGGTGACAATCATTTCAAACATATTTCTCTGCAAGGCGCTTGCGATGGACTGATCAGGGTTGCAGTTTCCAGCGTAAAGCTTATTAGATGTTGTTTGTTACGTACCTCCTCAAGTGGGCTTGCAATGGCGAAGCTCCTTCGGATCCTGGAACACCAGGGCATCTTCTCTGAAAAGCGTCCTTCGATTCCATGCACCTCAAACAAACCCGTTCTCACATGATCTTATGGGCAGACCTCATAGACCGCATCGTGTCTAGTTAATTATTATTCTGAACTCGTGAGTTCTTCTATGCACATTCCAACTCAAAGTGACATCTGTAAGAACTGTTGGCAACAAGCCCCAACCATACTTCACGTACGTCTCCAGATCAACTGCTTTACGCGATGCAGTTTAGCAGCCTTGTGACATTTTGGCCCATGACATAGCATCTTGTAGCATGCAGGGATTCCTTACATGATTTGGAAACACGACATGCAGACTCCTGCCTGAGCGCTGATCATCTATGACTATTTCTTTCACAAACTTCTTTGCTCTTTAACACTTTAACAGAATTCAGTGAGTTTCCTTCACACTTCACAACTCACGTTTTACCTGTTCGTCGGTGGGAGTGCTCTGTCATATAAGTTTTCCAAGAGGCATACTTGAACCCTAATTTTCCTTGGAAACTGTCACAGCCATCAAACATTCAAGATTCCATTAAACGAGTTGGTTGAGGAGGGGTCGTGTCGTACCTGGCTTCGGTCTCAGAGAGGGCGCAAAAGAAATTGCAAAAAAAAAACATTTTTTCTTTTTGAGGGTGAGACCCAGCTAGTGGCAACAGGCTCGAGGGCAAACGACTCCTCTGTCATGGTGGTTCCCAGCTTTTAAGCCAAATTCCCTTATGATACATGTCCTGTATTTTTGAGAGGATACACGATTAAGTCAAGGATCTCAAACTAATTTCGCTTCGGGTCAATCATTTAGGATTCTACGTCTCTACAAGGACTTACTATTTTATTATGACACGCTTTTGCCACAAGAAGCTGGTAAAACTATCTTGGAAACACAAAAGACTGGACCGACGTTTTCTGTTGCTGAAATAAGCTGCATCTTCATGCGCATGGCTGAGCAGCACGTGATGTACGGGATATTGGGATCGGCGAGGATGATTGAGGTTAATTGGTTCAGGTTGTGAACCGATGATTTGCAAGGGTACGCTACTCAGTACGTGAGTACTGGCGAGATACAGGACCAATAGGAGCTAGGGCCAGGGTTTGGGGTATACATCAGAGATCAAGGCAGTTTGAAATAACCTGAGAACATGGACGCATGCTACTTACTTTGAGACGCGCGCACTTTTGTGCTTCAAACCCCGAAACTCTAAACAGCATGGGACGGGTCATCGAAGACCCCGCAGGCGAGTGGGCCCTGAACAAGTTTGGGCAAAATCAAGTACTGGACCTGTTAAATCTAATGGATCTGCGCAAACCCTTCGATTGCCAGTTTAACAAGTCTGGAGTGGCGTCATGGTCCCAAACATATCCAAAAGATCTCGGCTCACATAAAAATCGTGTCTCCTTATGCTCTACGGTTTTGATGATCTGCCTCTGCAGTTTCAAGATGTTCACAGTCCAGCTGGCACATGGCCTGGGCTGCAAGAGCGGATCCTAAGCATCCGGATTTTTCCGGGGCAACTACCACGGCCGTCGCTTGCAGTCTGCATATGGAGCCTCGCAGAGATGCGCGAGCGTACAATTTCAGCGGATTTTTGATGCTTTGCTCCACGCTGGGTTCCCAGCTCCAGGCTCCCTCATTCGAGACTGTCCTGGGCCAAAACACAGAGCTCACTGTGGTAGGCCGCAATAGTGGTAGGTCCTCCTGACGCATTGGTCGCAGAAGCAGGCCTGACTGATGTGTAAAAAGCAGAGATCCACCAAGCGTGCTGCTCCACATTACCTCGAGGCAACTCCGGGTGGACCGCCAACTCGAAATGCAGAGGAAGGCCTGCAAAAAACAGTCACATTGGCAGACCCTGCCCCCCGACGCCGCTCCCAAGCACCCAACTGCCATAGCTGTGTCAGTAGATTGGAAAGTCAACAGTCAACGGAACATAACCTTGTTAAGACTGCCAACTAGACTCCTCAGATCTCCTCACAACTGCTGCTGGCAGCAAGCAACGAACGTAGTGTTGTGTCCACCCGCACAGTAATTACAGTGACTCAGCAAGCGAGGTCTCTTCAACATAAAAAATGAACAAATGAATCAGTCCATGAGCGAAATCAGCAAGCTTGTTGAGCGAAGAGGAGAGCAAGACCACGCACAAATGCTGGATGTCTTCTACAACCCTTTAGGGGTCAGCTGACGCGAACGAATCCCAGCGCGCCGAGAATGGCTAACGCAGCCAGCAACCGGTGTCGAGGGCCTGGCAGCAAAACAAGGCCTAAGCAAGCAGCCGCACGAAATCAAAGCCTGAGCTCGTGCAAAAGGATGAGCAGGCAGGTGCCTGGCCTTCGGAACTCTAGACCTTCCACATTTCCTGCCGCTTCCAGAACAGCACTTTCTTGGTGCAAGCAGTCTTCTATCGCTGTCATGCTCAAGCGTCAGAATGTGGGCTTGTGAAGAGCTTTTACTGCGCACGTCCTAGGTCAACTGAGCTTTCAGTCAAGCGGCCGTCGAATGAACTTTCGGCGAGGCTCTCGCCATCAAAGGCTGCACTGCCCTTTGCACCGAGGGTTCCACCGAACTGCCGCACTGGCCGAGACAGCCATGGCCGTTTTTCTAAACAGCTTGTATTGTCGTAGAGGCTCCTGTCGCGCATGCTACCAGAACTTGCACAGGAATTTGCACAGGCTGGCACAGGCTGTTCAAACCTATGGCATGCCGAACATTCTCCTGATTGCCCGGACAAGGTGTTGTGATAGTCCCAGATCGTGCAGTGAAGGGCAGTGCCGTGGGGAGAAAATGTCGACGTTTTCACGCACGTGCGTAGCCCCAAAATTAGAGGCTTCACAACATGCGTCTTCTGCCGCCATGGCTCCAGGGGACATTTTATCGATACTGCCTTCTTTGGACTATGTGACTACGTGCTGAGTTCACACCTTTCAGTTTCCAATCGGCTTGCTGTGAGAGCCGGCGATCGATCCGCAGACTCAGATGAGAAGCTCGCGATTTGAAACGCCGCGCATTCCTATGGCTGATCCTTGCTCACAGCTGACAGGCTAAGTTGTGCAGTGCAGCCAGGCTTCACTGACATCCCGAAACAGAAGCAAGCCCAACCCTGTTGCGGCTTCCCTGCTCATGGTCATAGCTCTGGAGCAGTCGTCACAGCCGAGCTTCTAAGATCTGAAACCTGCAACTAGACTCTATGTATCGTCAGATGACCTTTAAAGTTCCAAATCTCAAAAGCTCATCAAGGTGAACCTGTTGCATCTGCTCACGGCGAGCTCATAACCAGTCTTCGTTGACATCCTGCAGCTTGTCAGAAACAGAGAGATGGGCCATTCACTGTGCAGAGTGCCCAGAGTGCCTGTTCCTCGGAAGCTTCAGGCACCTCGCTCTCTGGGCTTTTTGGCTCCATCTCAGTCCTGGGCTGCAAAAAAGTCTCTCCTAGAAGCTTCCTAGACCCTTTGAAGGCATCGTGCTTGGTCTTCTGTGAGATCAACAGGAGGAGAAAGCCGAGGTCGAACCTGGGCATGGTTCTCTGCAGGCACAGACGCCACTTCTGTCTGCGTCTGTCAGCAAGCAGCGTGAACGAGAAGCTTCAAAAGGTTCCGGCGGGAGACGGTTTCGACACCTCAAATCTGAGAGGTGCTTCAGAATACGCCACAGCCTCCCTGCTTCCTGATGCCTCACAACAGTTGCCAAGAAAATTTACCCATGTTCCCACCCAGGGATGGATGAATGCCTCTCTCAGAAACCTTGTAGCTGCTGCCCCAGGAGCGTTCCCATCAACCCCAGGGCATTGTGGTTTGCTGCTCACTTTGACAACATGGTTCAGTTGCTTTTCGCATCACAGGTCCTGCAGCCTTCTGACTTCTGTCAGTGCAAATGATTATGCGCGGCTCATAAGAAAAGATTCTGCTCACAGCATCAGGATTGGTTGGCTCTCCGAGGCCAAGACCATAGAATCAACAACACCTGTTAAGGCTACGGCAGACAAGGCAAACTGAACGGTTGCACATCCACACTCAGGCATGTTTGCATTTGGCCTGGAAAAACGAGCAAGCATAGCCCAAGATGCTTGGCATCAGGACCACAACATCCTCTCAACAACTTCTAAGCTAACATGCAGAAGGCATACATTGCAACAGCACTCCTCAATCAGTAAGGCATAAATGCTCCATAGCGCCTCCCCAATCAGTCATATCAGCTCTTTTCAGCTGCCATGCGTACGTGCAGGCCAGGCGCATTGTTCACAACATTTATTCCCACCCTGCCATGTTCCCGACTCGCAGACTGCTTGTCCAACGTGCAAAGCAGCGTGCAGTTGAAACGTGACAGCAGCGCATGAACGCTGGAAAGGGGCTGCTGTTTCTTGTGCGTAAAACAGCACCAAGGTTCATCAAGGGACACCTGCATGTCTCAACACACCAATGCTTGGAGAAAAGTCACAAGCGTGATGGTGACACTATTCTAGGCTGGGCACGAGTACAAGAAGATGTTAAACACCTGGGCAAAGGTCAACTTGCAACTTCTTTGCGCAAAGCCCGATGTAGGTGCAGTCGAGATGCAGTAATGAATTGTCCCAATAAGTTGATGGGAGCCTAAAAAGGAGGCTCTCCAGAACTCATATCAAGATGCTGTGTAGGGCAAGGCCCACGCACTTCTTGCGACCACTATCCCACCATTGAGGATCACTGATGTCTTCATTGCAAAAGGCAGCCACCGCGTGTCTGCAGCCCTGCGATGCTTGCAGCCCCGGAAGCAACAAGAATCTGCACGCTGCAGACCTGATGTAGTGCTCGCCCGCCAGGAAGAGGATCTGGCAGGCCAGGCCTGAGCTTCACGGTGCACCGAACACTTCTTCCTCCCATCGCCTATGGCTGAAGCGGGCCTGAGGCTAGCGCCAAACAAGTTCGTCATGAGAACTGCCGCGTTGGCAATTTGAAGCCCATATCCGATGCTCAGCACATTACAAGCGGCCTGGCAGTTCGCCAAACATTGGAAAGCTTGGAAACAAACATCACTGTGCCACTGTGCGCGGGAACCTGCGCCTTGAACACAACCGTGGGGAGGTGGCTCGCCTTTCAAGACATCCAAATCCACGAAGATGCAAATCACACAAGCGACTCCTTAGGAGACCGCTTTCATTCGCCGCACTGCCTCCAACACCATTCCAGTGGGCGCAACCTGGGTTTTACAACGTCTAAGCCACACGAATGCAAAAGCTCCAAGGCGGCCCAGGCGTAAGATATGATGGTAATCAGTGGACAAGCCAGAGACAAACTCAAGGTCAGCACCTGCAACACCGAGGACTGAAAGCATTTGCAGGCAGCAACGAAAGCAATCACAGAATCTTGTTCGGCACTTGCTCTTTTTGTCCCTCATTGCATAAAGATTGTCTAGTAGGGTTGAGACTTGCCCTTGCCTTTGGACTTGGAGGGGCCGTACCAGCCATCATCCCAGCCTCCCCAGCCCCCATTCCACATCTCACCCAGCATCTCCATGGCCTGCCACAGCTGGTCGAAATCGATGCCTTTCCCCTTGCCAAAGCCTTTTGCATCCTTCCCACCCTTTTCGAAGCCCATCTCCAGGCCCTTGAAGCCTTTGCCCTTGCCTTTCCGCTTTGGCTCCTTGCCGGGTGGGAAGCCATCCGGGTGAATCTTCACATTGGCCGCCTTGACACCCCGGGCATCCTCTACGATGTTGAACGACACAACAGTGTCATTCGAGTGGTCACCCAGCTGACTTCGGAGGACCAAGATGTCCTTCTCATAGACCTCTTTGGTCTCCTCACAATCAATAAAACCAAGACCTCTGGCAGCGTCAAAGTTCTTGACCCTGCCCCAATATGTGGGCAAGCGCTCTGCCATGTCAGCTATCCTCTCCTTAAGGCATGTTTGGTTTTGGGACAAAACACTCCAAATAAAGTTCAAAAAATGCTCAAGCTTGTTGTTGCGAGCATCTATGATTTCCACCTCAACAGCTTTCGGGCCTTTGATGCCAGTCTCCACCTTAAAGCTCACCTTGGTAGAAGCACATAAGACAAAACAAAACAAAACAAAACGTGAAACACAACATCATAGACTGGGGCACTCTATCTCCGGTACTGACAATCAGCCCGTTCAGAGAGCTTCGCAGAAGGAAGATGTCTTTGCCTGGACGAAAAGCAGGCTCAAACTCACACGTCTCTGCTAAAGACGCTGCAGGACACGTGTCTACCCATCCTTTGCACCGGAAGCTTGATTTCTAAGGCCAAGAGTCCGTAGATTTGTTGGGTGTCTTTGCACTCTATGAAGCCGAAACCCTTGTCTTCGTTGTAGTCCACAATCTGGCCACTGTAGGCCGGACCGTCAGCTTCCGAAGACACCGGTGCTGTCGAGGCCGCAGCTGCTGGAAGAGCTACACCAGGGACGGTTGGCACAGCAGCATACCTAATTAACAGGACCTAACACAAACCGCACAAGTCCAGTCTCGGTAGCCCCATGGTCTATGTTCTTTGCAGACGAGGAACAAGCCGGCGGCACCTGAGGCACCTGCAATTTGCTGCATGTACATCTGCTGTGCCACCACCTGCTGCGCTTGTAGCGCTTGCAGCCAAGCAGTGTACTGGGCAGGATCCATGGCCGGGACGGCCACTGCCTGGTAGCCAGCCGGTATCGCATACTGGACTGCCTGCCCTTCAGGCTGCTGCGGGGGAGCCGTAGCCTGAGCTAGCTGGCCCTCCATCTATGCTGGGCACAACTGCCACGTCCCGATCAAGAATCAGGCTGCCATTGGGTCATGGCTAATCACCACAGGAGGGTTCCAGTTTCCATCAGCTTTCGAGCCCAAAGGGCCGACGCAACCACTTCCAGGTGCACAATCAAAAAACATCAAAATGTGTACTTATCACGCAAGAAGACTGAATACGCCTCATGCTCCAACCAGCCCATGTTGGTCAGTGCGGGGAAGGCGCATACGGCACAAACCTCACTCAGAAACACTGGTCCTCTGCCCACTGATCTCGCTCAGTTCGAGATCCCAGCTGCAGCGCTTATGGCTGAAAGGGTTAAGACAGCCTCAAGCTGGTCTTCCAAGGTTCAGCGGACATTCTCACTCAATCAACTAGCAACCACAAAATAGCAGCCAAGTGTCATCCAGGATCTGGAAGGGAGCTCCAAGGACGGCCTTCAACAAAGGGACCACAGTTGGCAGCAGAATTGTGCCCAGCCCGCGTCTGAGGTATTTGCACGAATGCTGGAACGCAGGCGTCCGCCCTGATTCAAAACAATTCCAAAGGCTCAAGCATCAGAGGGCACATGGAAATCTAAACACTGCAGTAAGATGGCGACCAAAGAACCAGCATAGGTGGGGGACGATGTGCCTGCTGGTAAAGCAAGTGAAGTGGTCAGATGCCATGTAGTGCATCTGATGGCTCTCCCACCTGCGCCCCAGCATGGCACCGGAAGAACTCTGCTGTCACGTCCTTTCAGACACAGGCTGCTCCTCAAGAACAATTCTCTCTCTTCGTTGCATGGGCGCACCTTTGCCAATCGCAGTGGCCGGGAGCTTAGGCCCAAGCCTGAGGGTAGAGTGCGGACAGCAACCAAGAGAGCGCTATAGTGCATGCTGAACAGGCATCAGGCTGGAGATAAGAATTCCCCGCCATTGCGCACACCTTGACACAGGTATACCAGGTTACACGAGCTCCTCGTGGCGTGTGCATTTTTTACGCTCCTGCCTCCGCTCCTTCTCGGCAGCTCAGCTAACCCCGTCATGTCAATTTGAAGCATGGAATTTGGATCCAATGCTGCATGTCTTGAAGCTGTCACGCATTGCGCATCATCTCGCTTCAACTTTGGCAGAGCAAACGTTCTGAGTGGCTTCAGAGGTTGGCACATGCTGTAATCTGAGCTTCTCTCTAGACATCCGCGTTGAACCAACCTACGTCTTCACTGTGGGCATCACAAATTTCCAAGTCATGAAACTGGCTATGCACTTGAAATCACGCGAGGCATGTGCCGATAGCAGCAAGCATGGCATTTTTTGGACTCTGCTGAGCGGGCTTAGCAGAAAAATGGCAGGATGAACTGCAGAGCGTGTCTAACTGTTACTTTTATGCAATCAATCTGCAAACCGACGCTACAGTACAAAAATGCTGATATATCAATGTCTTGCCATTAACCAAAACAAGGCGACCACCAAGCAGCCATGAGAAAGCCTGCCACGTTCAGCGCTTGTGAAATGGCGTCTTCCTGCGGGCCTGCCAAAGTTCATGACAGGGTATTTCTGCATTGCAAGGTATCCACCGTCTACATGACTTCTTCTGCGTCCACTTCTTGCCTTGGGTTGGCCAGGCTTCTTTGGTTCGACCATACGCCAATCACGAGTCAGGTATCTGGCTTTCTTCATCATTGGCCTCCCAAAAACAAGATCGGCAACAGAAAGGCAAACTACCAGCCGGCTTGAAGCTCAATGACATGCTGACAGGATGCAAGGTAAGACCAAACCAGCTGCAAACAGGCATTGCCTCCAATTAAAGTTGTACTCCTGCATGGCCCGGGCCAAAGCTAAACGAATAGCGCCTGAGACTTTTTTCCGTCCTGCTTCTCTCTCCAAATGAGGTAGCTAAGGCTCCAGCCAGCCTGTCCACTAACACCACCACCAAAGCTTTTCGCAATGATGTCGAACCTTGCATGCATTCGATCACACCAGAAGTGCTCACACGCTGAGTTCATCCCCAAGACTGGGCGCTTTCACTTGTTTTTCTGGGACAGCGCAGCCAGGGGCTCGCATGCCTGCAGCTACTCAGTCAGCCCAAATATTCAGCACCACTCATGAAGAAACAGCTGTACGCAAATGAGTGAAGTGCTGTAAACATGCATGCCGTAGCTTGCCTTAAGCCACCAATACGGGTAGTGGCAGAAGTAAGTGATGGCCTCCGGAACTCAAGTTGCCAGTCGAGGATGATTATAGGGTAGGCCGGCGCACATCCTTGCCGTTGACAATGAATTGGCCGTTTCCCTTCACGATTCTTACAATCGCACCTCACTGGTACAGGCAGATGATGCTGTGACAGCTTACAAAGCACTCCAGTCACTGAGTCAACAACAGGCTGTCTTTCTTTTGCCAACGCCCTGCCAATACCTTGTAGGTGATGGCTCTCTTGCAAGGCAAGTGTGCCTTGTGCTGCATTTGAGGTTGCAGCTGAACTTCCTCGCCCTGCACATCCATATACCAATTGCCATCTGGAGCTCGCCCATCACCTACAGCAGCGCACAATGTGCTCTCATCTCAGATGCTCGCAAAATGGTCTGAGGGCCAAGCCCCACTTCGCCCCCGGAGCAGGTGGCTCCAAAGGCGGATAGTACAAGTTTGGATCCAAGGGAAACTCCAATCCTGAGCGACGTGATGGCGAAGCTAGCCTTCTGCGCGATTTTCCTACGTGTGAGGCCTTCGATGACAGGAACCTGCTTGTACACCGGGCCCCTGTACGGACGGAACCTTGGCCAGCAAATCGGCAAACATGCCATCTGGCTGCAGAAGAGCAAAACCCAAAAACACACTCATTATGGCAGAACCTGCACAAACTAGCCTTAGCAGCCGACTTCCGGCCAAATGGGATTTTTCCCGCATCTGGAGGCAGGTCTTTCTCCAAATCGACCCCTGGTTTTGGCTTGCGTTGTAGACACTGACAGCTTAGCCGCTAGCTTCTCAGGCTCTTGCGCTCTTCCCAGGGGTTCACATAGTTTTTCTTTCCCGTCACTGGATCAAATGTACCTCTTTGCATTGCAAAACATCGCAGAGAAGAACATATGTGTTGTCGGAAATCATTGAAAGCCTGTTGTGATCTCGGCTTTTCGTAATGTTTGGGCCTGGCGAACTAGGGTGAAGAAAGTGCCACAACCCATGAGATGAACCTACAGCTAACGGAGCCTTCCGAGAAGATTTCCTGTGTGCTCGGATGGTGCCGAGCAAAGCCAAGCTAGCAGCCATACCAGTGATAGCTGGAATGGATGATTGTGAGCCTGACAAGCTAGGCCGTGACTTACATGCGTTCAACCCAACAATCACACGCAGAAAAAAGACATGACAGTTGAAGCTGTCGCCTTGGGCATGGCCATCGACTGGAGCGGATGCTCTTTGAACAGTGGTGATTGTGCGCGGCTTGCCTTGCACACGCGCTTGCTCCGCAAGCTGCGGAAAACCAATTTTGATTTCACGGACTGGCCTGTCAATGGAACATAGTTTCCCGAGAAAGCTGCAGTGCCTGAAAAGTAACGGGTATTCGGCCCCAATTTAGGCTGTTGTATGTCATGCCTACAAACATTCAGGCTTGTGCTTGCCACCAACGTCATCGACAACAAGCGAAGCCTGCCAACCAAATCTCCAATGTGCGAATTCAAGCCTAAGAGAACAGCTGCTACACAAACACGCCAGCGCACATATCGACCCAGGCCCTGCTGCTGTTTCAGGCAGGGTGTTCCTGGTTTGAGCCTCGCTCTGATACAACGTGCATACCACCATGGAACAGAGCTTCTGGTGGCAAAGTCAAAACACCCATGAATCTTTCTGTAAAACGGGACGTCCAAATGTTTGGCAACGTGTGCTTCCAGCGTCCGCCAAGGAAACAGCCAAGCATCATGCTATGCACTGAAAGGCTAGCAGCGTCATGCAGCCATCGAGCACATGTTTTTGGAGGTTCAACAACCCGGTAAACGGAAAATGTGTTTGACGTGAGTACTCCTTGGATTTGAAATGAGGTCCCGTCAGCGTTTATGCCGTGCCCTGTCGTCTTTATTTGGAAACATAATTTTGAATTTCTGGCTTGCCACGAAGCACCTGAATCTCACAAAAGATGTTTTGATTCTTGGACCCAGCTTGACAGGCTTGATTGCTCTAAGTCCGAAAGCCTATAAGGCCCTTCAGCACCAAAAGCTTCCAGCTTTTATGACACATGCGCACATGTTTAAGTTTTCCATGTGCTGTCATTTGCGAATTGACTAGAACGACGTACAAGCAGCATCATGACATGGAAACGAGTTTCCATGCCCTGAACAATGTCTTGTGGAAGCGTTTAAATGCTAAAGAAGCATGTTGTGTTGAATTAGTTAGCAATGACCATTTCCA